AGGGGAAGGGAACATCAAAAAATAAACCCTGTTAAAATCCCTTTAGGTCAGTCAAAGGGGCTTAATTTAGAATTTTTTTATTTCCCGAGTTCTTTGTTAGGAAATATCAAAATTTATGAAATAGGGAATGATTTTTTAAAAAACCCCCAAAAAAGTAATTGAAAATCTTTTAAAATTGCCAGAAAAAAACTTTTTACAATCCAAAAAAAGGGGCAACCAGCCTTATTCAAATAAAAAAAATGGGTTTGGGTTTTCCCTTACCATGAAAACTTGGTTGATATGCCTTTTTTCTTAAAAACTTTTAATATTAAAATTGTATTCCCAAAAATCTCGATTTCAGTAAAAAAACTTTTGATAAAGAATTCCCCCCAAAAATTTTTGGATGTTGTTTTATAAGATTCTTGTAAAATTTTGCGATTTAAAATTTATTACGGTTTTAAACTGGTAAAAAAACTCGAATAAGATTAAAAAAACATAAATTTAGGGGATTAGAATGGACAAGATTCCCCTGCTTTTATTCATGTAAGAGATTTTAACCATCCCAAATTTATTTTCAAAAAGTTGAGAAAGTAAATATCCCCCAAGGGCCCCAAAAAGGGGGGGCCATGGTCGACCAAAAAATATAAATTTAATCTTGTTTCTAAAAAGCGTTTTGAAATAATATGAAATTTTCCTTTTGGGTTTTTATAAATTTGATCCTTTATAATTAATTAATTTGGGAAAAAATTTAATAAAACACTGGACAAAAATCTTTTAAAATTTCTTAAATTTTTTGGGGAGAATAGTTTGTGGGGGGGTTGTGCCAAGGGGGCCTTTCCCAAATTGGTCGCCGGCGTTTACGGTTTTTAAAAAATTGTGGGTTTTGATAGTGAGGTGCCGACCAGACCCCTTATATTGCTTTTCCCTTTGGGTTTCTTTTCTTTTATTTGTTCCTTGATAATGTGAGTAGTCACGAAAGCGCTTGGGAAATTTTCTATTTTTTCAGAGTGGTTGTTTTGCATATTCTGAAATCACCCGTTTACTTTTGGGTCTTATTGCACCCTATATATTTTTTTACAGGGCAGAGAAAAATTTGTCCTTGGAGGCAAAGAGGGGAATGTATGAGGGTTTAGTTTTACCAAAAGCTCTTATAGGGTGTGAAGCATGGGTGATGAAGTTGCGCGAGGAGAAGGTGGAGGGGGAGTGGAGATGTCATGTCTGAGGGCAATGTGTGGTGTGAATATAATGCAGGGGAATTCGTTTGTTTGGAAATTAGGAGGAGGTGCGGGGTTTTCCAAAAATGTTTTTCCAGAGGGGTTTAGGAAGGGGTTTTTGAGGTGGTTGGACATGTAGAGAGAATGGGCGAAACAGAATAACTTCCCGAGTGTTTCGTCTGTAGTGGAAAAGGGAAAGGGGGGGTAGGGGGCGGCCCCCGGAAGGGTTGGAGGGGGGGGGTAAAGGGGGGTTTTTTTGTGGAGGGGGTTGGACTTCCCGAGGCATTTCGTGAGGGGGGTTTTTAAAAGGAAATGAATGGAGACAAAAAGGTTTTTTAAAAATTCTTTTCGTGTGTTGGGGGTTTTGGGGCAAAGTAACATTTTTGAAGGGATTCAGGGGGAAAAAAGGGGGAGGCCGGAATTTTAGTCCTGGAGAAAGGGAAAACAGTGCCTGCACTTGAAGGAGGGGGGGTTTAAAGTTGCAGTTTAAAAACTGTGTGTAAAGCACCCTTTTTGGCAAGGGCAGTGGGGGGGTGGAAAGTTTGGGGAAAATTTTTCTTTTTCGGGCCCCCCTGCCTTGGGTGGGAATTTGGCCAGTGTGGGTTTAAAAAAAAAAAAAAAAAAAAAAAAAATTTTATTTATATTTATACATATATTTATATATATAATTTTAAAATATAATTTTTTTAAAAAATTTTTATATAAATTTATAAATTTTTTTATTTTTTATATTTTTATATTTTATACATTTTTATTTATATACCCTATATATATATTATACATATATTATTATATACATATTTATATATATTCATATATTATATATACATATATTTTATATACATATATTATATAATACAAAATTAAAATTTATTTTATTTCATTATATATTTATACTCTTTTTATATATAAAATACAATATATATATACACTTTTTTTTATATACCCCAAAAATAAATATATATAACCCTATTTTATTTTTAAAATATATATATATATTTATATATATATATAATTTTATATATATACATAAAAATTTTATATAAAATATATATAATTTATATATATAATTTTATATATTAAAATATATATTTTATATACATATATATATTATATTATAACCCTTTTAAAATTTTATATATATTCATATATATATATTTATATATATATTTATATATAAAATATATACTTAAAATATATTACATATATATATATATATATATATATATATAAAATTTTTACATAATATATATATAATTATATATAAAATATATATATTATATATACATTTTACATATATATTAACATTTTATATATATATATATTATTATATTTATTATAAAATTTATAATATTTAAATATTTTTTTAAAATATTTATATTAAAAATATAAATATATAATATATATATTTTACATATTTTTTATATATATAATTTTATATTATTCATATTTTAAATTTATATATATACATATACAGTGGACCCCCCCCATAACGATGGGATCGCATAGGATTTTTTCCCCCATAAAGATTTTTTTTTTTCGCAAAAAATTTTTTCCCCGCATAACCGGGTTAAAAAAACCCCCATACCCAATTTTTTTGTCCGAGAGCGTCCCAAAAATTTTTTTTGGGCCCTCAATGTTTCCGGCCGTTTCCCTTGTTTTTCCCGCCAGCCTCCGCGGTAACATTCCCAAACATTTCCTCGGAATATTTTTATTATTACAGTGTTTTGGGGTGTTTCTTGGGAAAAAAATTGGGCCAAAGGGCCCCCAAAAAAAGTTCTTTGTGCCAAAACCCCTGTGGTTAAAAAAAAAAAAAAGGGGGAGAATTAGTATGGAAATTAAAAAAGATTTTGAAGGGTTTGGGGCTAAACCCCCGGAAAGCCCTTTCCAGTTGTGGGGAAACCTTTTTGCTAATTCAAAAATTAAGGAAAGGGGTGCGAGTGGGTTTTAAATGCAAACTTTATAGATGAAAATCACCCTGGGCACGCTGTTTTCAAAACCGGGGGCTTTGACCCTTTTTAATGACAATGTTATGGCCCCTTTTGGAAAGTTTTTTAAGGGAAAAGGGGGGGTACAGAGCTCTATGGACAGTTTGTTTTGGGGGACAGAGGTCCAGTGACTCAAGTTTGGTTTCCCAGTGGCATTTTAAAAAAAAGAAGGGAGTAACCCCAGGGAAGGGGTTTTTCTACCCCAAAATTTTCCCAATGGGAAGGGGGTTCCCCTTCTAAACGTAAGAAGATAATGCCCCTTCCCCCCCTCCCTTTCCCTCAATCATTTACCGATCTTTTAATTTAAAAATAAGGGGTCATGTAATTGTGCATGCCTTTTTTAGTTTGTGTATTAAAATTTAAAATTTTATGTGGTAAAAAAAAATTTTTTTTTATAATTTTTGGGGGTTTTTGCACGGATTTAAATTTTTTTTCCCTTTTTTCTTTTGGGGGGAAAAATTTTAATTTGGGATAAGTTAATTTTTGCATAACGATGGGGCCCCCCTTGCAAAGGGTTTAATCGTTAACCCGGGGGGGCCACTGTATAAATTTTATAAAATATTTCATATATACATATATATATATTTCATATTTATATATATATTATTTTTTATTTATATATATATATATATATATATACATATACATATATATATATATATATATATATATATATATATATATATATATATATTATATATATAACATATATATGTATTTTTTTTTTTTTTCAACAAGTCGGCCGTCTCCCACCGAGGCAGGGTGACCCAAAAAAAAAAGAAAGAAAATCCCCAAAAAGAAAATACTTTCATCATCATTCAACACTTTCACCACACTCGCACATTATCACTGTTTTTGCAGAGGTGCTCAGAATACAACAGTCTAGAAGCATACACATATAAAGATACACAACATATCCCTCCAAACTGCCAATATCCCAAACCCCTCCTTTAAAGTGCAGGCATTGTACTCCCCATTTCCAGGACTCAAGTCCGACTATATGAAAATAACCGGTTTCCCTGAATCCCTTCACTAAATATTACCCTGCTCACACTCCAACAGATCGTCAGGTCCCAAGTACCATTCGTCTCCATTCACACCTATCTAACACGCTCACGCACGCTTGCTGGAAGTCCAAGCCCCTAGCCCACAAAACCTCCTTTACCCCTTCTCTCCAACCCTTTCGAGGACGACCCCTACCCCGCCTTCCTTCCCCTATAGATTTATATGCTTTCCATGTCATTCTACTTTGATCCATTCTCTCTAAATGACCAAACCACCTCAACAACCCCTCTTCTGCCCTCTGACTAATACTTTTATTAACTCCACACCTTCTCCTAATTTCCACACTCCGAATTTTCTGCATAATATTTACACCACACATTGCCCTTAAACAGGACATCTCCACTGCCTCCAACCGTCTCCTCGCTGCTGCATTTACCACCCAAGCTTCACACCCATATAAGAGTGTTGGTACTACTATACTTTCATACATTCCCTTCTTTGCCTCCATAGATAACGTTTTTTGACTCCACATATACCTCAATGCACCACTCACCTTTTTTTTTATTTATATATATATATATATATATATATATATATATATATATAATTATATATATATATATATATATATATATATATATATAAAAGGATGTACACAGTTGCACACGGACACCATAATAGCGAGTTAGGGAGACTTATAAACAAATTTTTGGTCATAATTTGAAATGCCCCTATTAGCGAATCACCGTAAAGTGGGGCCCTCCTATATGTACAATAAGAAAACCTAATAACAAAAAAATAGAATGAAACTCACTGCTTGCCAAGTTCGACAAGTGTCTCGCATATATATTTGCAAGCATTGCTGTGTTTTGGATTATATTTGAGGGCCTGCTCAAAGTCTTCAACAGCCTTCTCAAACCTACCCAAATTAGCCAATCTGAAAAAAAAAAATTATAATAAGACTGATATTTAATGAAATTTGAATAAGAAAAACCAATACAACTATCAAGTCATTATTTCTTAACATTTAGTGTAATATAAACCATATTGGATTGTTTGCAGATTGAAAAAACAAACAAATTTCTCTCTCCTTTATAAAGAGGAAAAGAAATTAATTTATCTATCCTGCATATATTGCACATGCCTTGTTTACCCCAGGAACAGAGGCTCTTTCCTTGAGATGGTAGCTTCAGTCTTTACTAGACACTCTGCATGCAATATTTTCAAGACATTGAACATGGCTTCAAGACACTGATTTAAGAATACTATATGGTGGCTTAGCAGTAATATTGTTGAGCCATTACTACTTGTATGGATGAGGAACAGGAATGTGGGAAGAAAATTATAAGCTTACCTCAACAAGTACACTAAGGGGTACAGTATTTTGTCTGGGGAAATGGGAAAATTTCTTCCAATGCAAAACTTTATTCGTGTGATGATGAACTCGGGAGGTTTTGGTCATCTGACTGATGCTCTCCAGAGGATTCCTAGTCCACCACATAAAATTTAAATATCACAATAAGATTAGTAGGAGATAAAATGGGCTAAGAAAGATGGACACAAATAAAGGAAATAAAAAAGCAGTACAACCTCGATTAAACAGACCCCCACTTAACGGATTTTTGGCCAGGAACCCAATGGAAAAATGGGTTCCAGATTCTGTCCATTGGCACCGATTTATTCTTTCTTTCTTTCTTTCTTCTTTCAGTGCACCAGCCATATCCCACCAAGGCAGGGTGGCCCAAAAAGAAAAACAAAAGTTTCTCTTTACAAATTTAGTAATGAATTCAGGAGAAGGGGTTATGAGCCCCTTGTTTCTGGCATAACTTATGGAGGAAGAATCCTGTTCCACTTTCCCCATGGAGATAAGAGGAAATTAACAACATAAACAAGAAATGAGAAGAAAACCCAGAGGGGTGTGTATATATATATGCATGTACATGAATGTGTAGTGTGACTTAAGTGTAAGTAGAAGTATCAAGATGAGCCTGAAATCTAGCACGCTTATGAGACAGAAAAAAGACACCAGCAATCCTACCATCATGTAAAACAATTACAGTCTTCTGCTTTACACTCACCTGGCAGGACAGTAGTACCTCCCTGGGCAGTTGCTGTCTACCAACCTACTACCTAGGAGATTTATTATTTATTTGTGGAGAAATTTTCTCCAGGAAGGGGGGTATCAGCTCCTTTCAGCCCTTAGGGGCCCTACCCTCTCAGAAAGGGCAACGGCATCTTGCTTCTGGATCAACACTTTAATCAAGTCTAGATGCAGTACCAGCGTGTCATAGACACACCATAGTGTAGTTTGATGAGAGACCATCGATTTCTTACCTTAGCAGGACAATTAAGGAAAAATCCTGCTCCCACTTTGTTGTCATGTTAAAGATGTACATTGACGTCTGCCCACACAGCGGGAATCAAGCATTCTGCATTGGTTCATGGTGGAAGTTTGTCAAGCAGGGAAGATATGCTTTGTCGGCACTTCTTTTGTGTGTCTGGAAGCAGGGCTTAGGGCCAGGGGAAACATTAATGCTGGGATAACGAACAAAGAACACTGATCCGTGCGTTTTTGTGCATAAAAGAATCTCAACGGACACAGCAGAACAATTACAGAGAAGTGTGATCAGTTTCTTTAGTGATATGACTGTGAACAATAGACAAATCTTGATGAACAGTGTGTAAACAGCGAGTTGTGAATTTCCCGATGGGGTGGAAGACACAGCGACATTCTTCAAAGAACATGTCTGCTTCAATCAAGACAGCAGATATCCAGGTGTATTTACGAGTCAGCTACAAATACCCAGGTATGTCAAATAAGCACGATATTGGTTAGGTTGGCTGCACAGTGGATATCTAATTCATGTCTTATTAGATGGTACCATAATCCAGTTACTCACGGGCTTTTGCGCCCAAACCAGTACGTATAACTTCAGCAATCAGTTTTTGAGATATGCTGAATAACACCCCCTTGGGGTAATTATACTTATAATTATCCTTTACAGCTCCATGGTTGTAGAACAACTGTCTCACACCAAAGGTACCTACTGGGAGAAGCTGAGGTAGGCAGAGACAGCAACAAAGCTAAGTATCCTCATTATTGATACAAAATTAATTTGTTCTACAAATTTATTTGATCATAATTTAGTGAGATAAATTATGCCATACAGTTGGTCCCTTGAACCAGACAAAGACTACATTTTGGTCCAAATTTGTTGTACTATAGTGTACAAATAAATTATGAGCCAAGGTCCTTCAAAAAGAAGCTGTAAAACTAGTGTTTTTACAATATAAATCAGAATAAATGAGTCCCTCCAGGTTCAATCACAGAGTATGGGCAGCCCAGCTAGCCAATAGAAAAGGGAGGCTCACCCAGAGTCATCCAGGGGCAGCTCATCCAATCACCCACTCAACAGAAAATGGGGGATGGCATCAGTCATTCACTGGCGACCACACTCAAAAGCACTGACATCAACAACACCAGATGGGGTTCAGTTTGTGTTGAGTGTATATATACACAGTGTTTATAATGTTTATAGGTACAAATTAAGTGACGAGACTGTGCTTATGTTTGTCTCTCATATATTTAAGTGTTATATATTAACCCTTTGAGGGTCGACAGGCCCTCTCCGAAACTCGTTCTCAGGGTCGGCCAAATTTAAAAAAAAAAAAATTATTTTCTCTTATGAAAAGATAGAGAATCTTTTCCCGATCATAAAGACACCAAAAGTTTGAAATTTGATAGAAAACTTACGGAATTATGCTCTCGCAAAGTTAGCGGTCTCGGCGATGTTTATGCATCGGCGATTTTGCCCACTTTGAGCCCCATTTTCGGCCAATTTCACTGTACTAGTCGACAAAAAACATGAATATTTCGCTAGAACTCCATTTTTTCTATCGAATGGGTGCAAGAAACCACTCATTTATGAAATTCAACTATCCAGTACAGTGGTCAGAATTTAGCAATTTTGCCAATTTCACACAAATTTCAAAAGATGCCAATTTCCGAATAGGGTCCAGAATAAACAAGAAAGACATTCCTGGGACTAAAATGACATTTCCTCTAGTCATTAGTCATGTCTCAAGGCCCCTCTTATATTCTTTTGCTTTCCACTTTGAATTTTTATTCTCACAAAAATATAAGATTTACTGTTATGCAGACTACTGCATTAGTGTAAAAAATGGTATAAATATTATTGGTGCACTTGTGAAAGAATATTAGACTCACCAGTTGACGTGTATTGCACGCTTGGCACGATTTGTTTACTTTTGAAATTTGGTAAAAATCGAACATTTCTGCTACTTTGAGCTCAATTTCAAGGCACCTTTCTTTGTAAAACCAGTCAAAATCATCTCAATTTCTGTAATATGTCTTCCATTCTATAAAATGAGACCAAGAAAACTAGAATACAACAATAAATACCATACGAAAATACACTGCAAAGTCGCTGATTTATTAAAAAAAAATGGTCCAAGTTTTTTTTTCTCATTATGCACTGTGTGCTGCAGGATTTTTTTTAGACTGTGCACACTGACCACATAGACCCATTCTTTCATATGAAGGCCTACCAGCTTTCTTCCACTAGATTTGAGGCCGCTAGAATTTATGAGTACTAGTACGTCAAAAACCCCTACGAGTAAGACGTACTAGTACGACGAAAACCCTCAAAGGGTTAAAGGAAGTTATATAAAGTGTGAGCTTTTATATTAACAGTGACATTTATATATATGTGTAAGAAATATACATGTGTGATATACAGTTATACAGTGACATTTACATAGATGTATAGTGAATGAAGCGTATAATGTCATAAGTCAACTCAGCATCTGGACGTATGTACCCTGTACCCTTCAAGGTCACTGACCCTGAGGTCAAGGTTAGTAGGTCAGCATTGTTGCTGACACATCACAACAAGCACTCAGCTGTTCATAGCAGTGTAGTGTGTTTAAACACTTTAAGTGTGGTGCTAGAATTATCAGTATCTCATTACAATGGCTTCCTTGGATACTCAATTTAATTCTTTACAGATGAAGATTACACAATTAGACAATCTAATTTCAGTCTGTGAAGGGTTGACTCAAAATGCAAACATAGATTTTGACGATCTTGAGGCAAAACTGGAATTACTTACTCAGCGTCTGGAAATAATTAATTCAGATTATGCGAAATATGAAAGCGAATTCCTAAAATCAAATCCATCTGAGGATGAAATTAAAAATGTCTTGGATACCTTTTAGTGATCAACAATTAAGGTGGACAGGAGTACAGGCTACCTGCCGCAAAACTCTGTCACAGAGACCTACAGTAACTAGTGGTCAAACACCTGTTACACCTGCCACAACTGGTATTCCATTACCAAGTTTGCCTTCACTGTCCTTACCCATTTTTGAAGGAGGAAATAAATACGAAGAGTTCATTAGTGGTTTCCAGTCCATAGTAAATTCACAAACTGATATTAACGAGATTGCTAAGTTCAATTATCTTCAATGCCTTGTGAAGGGAGAACCCCACGAACTGATTAAGTCGTTTCCGGTGGTTAAAAGTAATTATCATCTAGCCTTACGTGTCTTAGCAGACAATTACTTTGATTCTGACAAAGTCAGGGTTAGACATGCAGTCTCAATTTCAAGCTTGAAGCCACTCAAACATTGTTTTTCAGACTTACAGTCATTTAGGATCACATTAGACAACAGTCTCAGATCTCCAGGAGCTAAATATGACCTAAGGCAATGTGATTGTTTATCAGTGGTATTGTACAGGATAAACTGTCACCACAAACTACTGAACGATTAAAGATTATAATAAACGCTATTTCACTCGTGAAGAAATTGGCAATGGTTTACAAGCAATAATTTCTTGCATGCAAGCAAAGAGACAAGATGAAAAATCCACAAATCCTGTGGATAATAAACCTTCAACTCAGTATAAAAAGAGTATTACTCCCACTAAAATATAGAATGGGAAATCCCATGTAGGCACTTATCAAGCTGTGAATACAACAGACAGTAAACAGACTCACACATAAACGTACTCCAAAATGTGTACTTTGTGATGGAACATATTGGGCACAGTATTGTAGTCAATGCACAACAATGGAGGCACATAAACATGTTGCACTGTTTCAGCTGTTGAGCAAGTGTTTAGGTGAACACAAGGGAGGTAAATGCTCACTGAAGAAGTGTTTTAAATGCATACAGCATTATGCCCAAGCACTTATGCTGAACAGCAGAAGACTTCCACAGAATCAGGAAGTCAACAAGCAACAGCATTAAATGTGAGAGATAAGGTTAAAGCAACTGCTCTCCCAATAGCTCAAGTTAAGTTATCTAATAAATTACACAAAACCAATGTGCTAACACTATTTGATCAAGGCTCACAAAGGTCCTTCATAAGAAGAACAGTGTTACATAAACTGAATAAACAACCCTATACCAAAATACAGTTAGATATAGCTGGTTTTTTTCCAAAGTTCTGGTAAACAGACATATGACCTGGCCAGATTCACTGTAAGTCTAAGAAACAGGAAAGACAGAAAGACAGTAGAAGCTGTGGTAGTAGATGATTTGCCTAAGTCTTTGCAGATCCAGGGATTAAAAGAAACAGTTGTAGCACTGAAAGCAGCCAAAGTCAAGTTAGCCTGTCCTGACATACAGATGGACACAATTAGTCCAAATGATTTAATCATTGGAAGTGATTATCATCAATGTTTTGTGCAAAATATAGTAAGTAAATATGATGTTCACTTTCTGAAAACAGCAGGCCATATGATATGTGGTCCAATTCCCTCTCAAAGTGGGACAGAAACTGATATTGATTCAATGGAAAATGTATTAGTTACAAGGATAACCGCTGATCATGTACCACAGCAAAAATCGTCATTACTGGAAGAAATTAATGAACCAGTTGATAAGTTGTTGAATTTAGATGTGATAGGTATTGATGTAAATAAACCAAGCCCACAAGAGTCTCAGACTTATAACCAATATTTGGACACTGTCAGATATGAAGATGGACAGTATTGGGTTAGGTTACCATGGAAATTAAATCCACCACATCTGCCTAGCAATTATCGCATGGCTTTTGGACAAATGAAAGCAGAAATTACAAGAGCTCAGGAAGAATCCAGAGCTACTGACTGTCTATGATAATATCATACAAGAACAGTTGGACAATAAATTCAAGGAGGAAGTAGTCAAAGACAAGTTGAAAGGATTCAGAAAGGATTCTGAAACCACTCCACTACATGTTGTATACAAATGCAGCACATGTGCAAATAAAGATGTAGCAAGTCTTAATGACTGTCTGATGACCGGACCCTAACTGAGAAGCTTGGAGATGTGCTTATGAAATTTCACACAAACCAATATGCCTACACAGCTGATATTTCCAAAGCTTTCTTAAGAGTAGGACTACAAGAAATAGACAGACATTATATTCGATTCTTGTGGCCTGAAAATCCACATGATCCTCAAAGTCCTGTGAAAACTTATCGTTTCAAGTCAGCATTGTTTGGTGCAACATTCTCTCCATTCTTGCTAGAAGCTACTCTAAATATACATTTGAAGAAATATGAAAGTGCCTTCAAAGAAATCTTAAAGATAAGTTTCTATGTGGACAATCTTCAAGGTACTGTGAATAAAGAGGAGGATCTGAAATCCTTATACAGAGAAGCTAACAAGGAAATGAAATAAGCAAATATGCCTCTTAGGATGTGGAATACTAATTCAATGCAATTAACCCTTTGAGGGTCGACAGGCCCTCTCCGAAACTTGTTCTCAGGGTCGGCCAAATTTAAAAAAAAAAAAAAATTATTTTCTCTTATGAAAAGATAGAGAATCTTTTCCCGATCATAAGGACACCAAAAGTTTGAAATTTGATGGAAAACTTAGGGAATTATGCTCTCGCAAAGTTAGCGGTCTCGGCGATGTTTACGCATTGGCGATTTTGCCCACTTTGAGCCCCATTTTTGGCCAATTCCACTGTACTAGTCGACAAAAAACATGAATATTTCGCTAGAACTCAATTTTTTCTATCGAATGGGTGCAAGAAACCACCCATTTATGAAATTCAACTATCCAGGACAGTGGTCAGAATTTAGCAATTTTGCCAATTTCACACAAATTTCAAAAGATGCCAATTTCCGAATAGGGTTCAGAATAAACAAGAAAGACATTCCTGGCACTAAAATGACATTTCCTCTGGTCATTAGTCACGTCTCAAGGCCCCTCTTATATTCTTTTGCTTTCCACTTTGAATTTTTATTCTCACAAAAAATATAAGATTTACTGTCATGCAGACTACTGCATTAGTGTAAAAAATGGTATAAATATTATTGGTGCACTTGTGAAAGAATATTAGACTCACCAGTTGACGTGTATTGCACGCTTGGCACGATTTGTTTACTTTTGAAATTTGGTAAAAATCGAACATTTCTGCTACTTTGTGCTCAATTTCAAGGTACTTTTCATTGTAAAACCAGTCAAAATCATCTCAATTTTTGTAATATGTCTTCCATTCTATAAAATGAGACCAAGAAAAGTAGAATACAACAATAAATACCATACAAAAATATAGTGCAACGTCACTGTTTTATTCCAAAAACACGGTCAGTTTTTTTTTCTCATTACGCACTGTGTGCTGCAGGATTTTTTTTATACTGCGCACACTGACCACATAGACCCATTCTTTCATATGTAGGCCTACCAGCTTTCTCTCACCAGATTTGAGGGCGCTAGAATTTAGGCATACTAGTACGTCAAAAACCCTGGGTCGTAAGCAGTACTAGTACGGCCGAAACCCTCAAAGGGTTAAATAATGGCAAAGACAAATAATAAGTCAAAAGGTAGGTTTACTACATCCAACTACTGTTAGTTCTCAGACAAAGGATTCTATTGTATTAATTGCTTGCAAATACAAGTCTACAGTCTTAAACATGGACAACCTTCAAAATGTGTGGGATATTGTTAATCTTGATTAGTGGCTCAAATCATGTTTGGAAGACAGTGTCATCTTTTCGGCTGAAGTAAATGAGAAAAGAAATTCTGCAGGAAAACAAAATTTAACAAATATTTAATTTCTTGCATTGGTATTATTTTCCCTTTCCTTTTCTAATGCTAGTATAGAGAGAATATTTTCACAGATGAATGTGGTTAACTCTGAGGAATGAGGGACTATCGATAATGCATGAATGTCATACCCTATGAAGATATACTGAACAACTTTGCTGCTAAGGAAAGTAATCAAACTGAAGGATAAAATACAGATGATAACCAAGAAATTTTCACACTTTAACTGGAAGTAGAGAAGTTTGTTCACCCATAATCTTAAAGTATAAATATTTATGACTTCTAGTATTAACCCTTTGACTGTCGCAACCCCCAATCCTGAGGTGTCTCCTGGTGTCGCAAAATTTAAAAAAAAAAAAAAATTATTTTTCTTATGAAATGATAGAGAATCTTTTCCCGATTGTAATGACACCAAAAAACGAAATTTGATGGAAAACTGAAGGAATTATGCTCTAACAAAGTTAGTGACCTCGGCGCTGTTTACAAATCGGCGATTTCTCCCACTTTGAGCCCTATTTTCGGCTAATTCCATTGTTCCAGTCGCCTAAACTCGTAGCTATTTCTTTAGAACTCCATTTTTTCTATCGATTGAGTACAAGAAACTGCCCATTTACTGACTTCAACTACCTAATAATGTGGTCAGAAATTTGCAATTTGGCCAATTTCATGAAAACTAAAAAATATGACAATTTCAAAATAAGATCCAGAATGAACAATGCAGACATTCCTGGCTCTAAAATAACATTTTCTTTGCTCATCAGTCATGTCTCCAGGCCCCTCTGGTATTACTCTTGCTTTCTATTTTGAATTTTTATTCAAACAAAAAATAAAAGACTTACTATTATGCAGACTACTGCAATACTGTAATAATTGTATAAATAACATCAACCCATTCATGACTGCATATTAGAATGGCTAGTTGGACATTTATTGGACAATGGCATCATTTGTTTACTTTTGAACATTGGCAAAAATCAAACATTTCCCCTACTTTGAGCTCCATTTCTAGGTTCTTTTTATAGTAAAATCAATCAAAATCACCTCTATTTCTATAATATGTTTTCCATTCTATCAAATGAGACCAAGAAAACGAGAATACAACCATAAATACTATACGAAAATAGACCACAAAGTCGGGATTTTAATTAAAAAAAACGGTTGGAGTTTTTTTTTTTCTCATTATGCACTGCGTGCTCCAGGATTTTTTTTATATGGTGCACACTGACCACACAGACCCATTCTCTCACATGTGGGCCTACCAGCTTTCTCCTGCTTGATTTGAAGCCGCTAGAATTTATGAGTATATATACGTTAAACACGGTACCTCGTAAGACGTACATATATGGCCGCGACAGTCAAAGGGTTAAACATAACAATGAAATGCTTCCTTATAATTTTACTTTCTCTAATATAAGTTGCACCACACCCACAGCATGCAACCACAGCCTATCTTCCCATTTTGCTTCACATTTAATGTTCTGATTAAAAGTACGTATACTCTATTTTTAATTATGCCAGTAGTGTCTCCAGAACTAATAATCATCAAAAATAAATTAATTCAGAAATAACAGGCAATCTGCAATTATGTTAGTCCATTAAACTGTTATACATATTTGAAAGAAAAATATATTTTAAAACAGGGTGAGGGTGAAATGAAGGAAATATGGCAAATTAACTAGATATTATCACCATGAGAATGCCAAAAAGAATCAATAGCACACACACACACACTTACAAAGCACCCTTTGCTACAAAAGCTTCCACATTCTCGCTGTCAATCTGCAGGGCCTTGTTGAGGCACTGGAAAGCTTCCTCATACTGGCCTCGCTTGAAGAAAACCACTCCATCTGCCACTGACTTATGAGCCCAGCGAGACATTTGAGCCTTTCTCAGATTTTTGTACATCTCTCGATCAGGAAACTTGTATCTAAAAAAGGTATAAAATGTCTTTGAAGATTAACCATTTGAAAATTCTCTTCTAATAATGATTTCAAAGAAAAAAATCATTAGTTTTGCCAATAGTTACAAAAACTAGATACAACACTTAGGATCATCATACAGAGCACTTCGGGCAAACATAAGACTAATTTAAGAATAATGAGACAATGACTAATTGAGTTTTTATATACAGTCTCTTAAGTGGTTGTAAATACAAATTCAGGAGTTACAATGAATACAAAAGAATTCAAAATTCTATTAGTACATGCTATATGGTTTTCATCAAATTTAATTGTTTTAAGAATAACAGGTTTGATTATGAAAATAGGTAATGAGGATTCTAGCATATTTACATAATGTGGACACATTTAATGGTTGTGAGGATTACAGATATTAAGAATAAGATTATATTGTTTTCCACATGTTTGTGAGAATGAGAATATGGACATATTATTTTCACATACAGTATTTAGCTGATGTTGGGATATGTTAGGGAGAGATGGTGTTTTTTAATAGTAGTTTTGAACATGCTGCCTCAGACAGTGGCTCTAGAGATTGCCAGCAGAGTTCCAGATTTTGAGTCCTTTCATGTACACTGAATTTTTACAAAGATTAAGCCGCACACAGGGTATGTCAATAGAGATTTTTGCGCCTAGTATTACATTTATGGGTCCTGTTGCAACTATCAAAAAAGTGCTTCAGGTTGGGATTAATATTAGAATTTATTGTTCTGTAAATGTAGGATGCACAGCAGTAAGAGTCAATGTTTTATAGACTAGTAAGTAGATTTAGGTCTTTGAAGAGTGGGGAAGACATGTTGTCCAGCAGTGGACTGTGTGATCATTTACATTGTGGCTTTTTGTTAAGTTATTGTTGGCTTAAGGTGATTTGCTATTGTGTATACCCAGGCACAAATAGAGTAGGTGAAGTAGAGGTAGATCAGTGAATGGCATAATGTAAGCAGTGCAGTTTGTGGTACATTACACATCTTTGAGAGGATGTCAACTTTTGTGGAAATGGAACAGAATTCTTCCTCCATAAGCCATGCATCTCATAAGAGGTGACTAAAATGCCAGGAGCAAAGGGCTAGTAACCCCTTCTCCTGTATACATTACTAATTTTAAAAAGAGAAACTTTCGTTTTTCTTTTTAGGTCACCCTGCCTTGGTGAGATATGGCCAGCTTGATAAAAAATAAAAAAAAAAAAGTGTTTACTGTTAAAACCACTCTAGCATTTCAGGCAAACTTAAACATATCTTAACATAGGCTTAAGTTTGCCCGAAATGCTCTGCATACTAAGGGTTTTCTGCATGCACACCTAAATGTCACCCATCTCTGTACAAACATTGTATCATGTTGAGATAAAGAATCTTTAAGATTCAATTATTTGTGAAATCTTATATAAAACAATAGAAGCGTAAAAGCAAAAACAATAACTGAAATGGTAAGATTATATAACAAAGAATTTTTTAATTAGCATCACAGCATCATAAAACCTGCAAGATGCATCTAAGGCAGTTATGTACTGTGAACTACTGTTACAAAACCTCATTCTTTAAAGGTGAGCACTGTATAATCAAAGAAAATAAGGAAAATTTCCTTTGAGCATGGGACAAGGCACACATGATGTAGAAACATTCACATATTCAGTCATTTTACAAAAATACTTTTTTAACCACAAACATTCCTTGACTTCTAAATAAATTTTGACTAACTTTTTTTTTTTTTTTTTCAACAAGTCGGCCATCTCCCACCAAGGCAGGGTGACCCAAAAAAGAAAGAAAATCCCCAAAAAGAAAATACTGTCATCATCATTCAACACTTTCACCACACACACACACACACACACACACACACACACACACATTACCACTGTTTTTGCAGAGGCGCTCAGAATACAACAGTTTAGAAGCATACACATATAAAGATACACAACATATCCCTCCAAACTGCCAATATCCCAAAGCCCTCCTTTAAAGTGCAGGCATTGTACTTCCCATTTCCAGAACTCAAGTCCGACTATATGAAAATAACCGGTTTCCCTGAATCCCTTCACTAAATATTACCCTGCTCACACTCCAACATATCGTCAGGTCCCAAGTACCATTCATCTCCATTCACTCCTATCTAACACGCTCACGTACGCTTGCTGGAAGTCCAAGCCCCTTGCCCACAAAACCTCCTTTACCCCCTCTCTCCAAAACTTTTGAGGACGACCCCTACCCCTCCTTCCTTCCCCTATAGATTTATATGCTTTCCATGTCATTCTACTTTGATCCATTCTCTCTAAATGACCAAACCACCTCAACAACCCCTCTTCTGCCCTCTGACTAATACTTTTATTAACTCCACACCTTTTCCTAATTTCCACACTCCGAATTTTCTGCATAATATTTACACCACACATTGCCCTTAAACAGGACATCTCCACTGCCTCCAACCGTCTCCTCGCTGCTGCATTTACCACCCACTATACTTTCATACATTCCCTTCTTTGCCTCCATAGATAACGTTTTTTGACTCCACATATACCTCAACGCACCACTCACCTTTTTTCCCTCATCAATTCTATGATTAACCTCATCCTTCATAAATCCATCCGCCGACACGTCAACTCCCAAGTATCTGAAAACATTCACTTCTTCCATACTCCTCCTCCCCAATTTGATATCCAATTTTTCTTTATCTAAATCATTTGATACCCTCATTACCTTACTCTTTTCTATGTTCACTTTCAACTTTCTACCTTTACACACATTCTCAAACTCATCCACTAACCTTTGCAATTTTTCTTTAGAATCTCCCATAAGCACAGTATCATCAGCAAAAAGTAACTGTGTCAATTCCCATTTTGAATTTGATTTCCCATAATTTAATCCCACCCCTCTCCCGAACACCCTAGCATTTACTTCCTTTACAACCCCATCTATAAATATATTAAACAACCATGGTGACATTACACATCCCTGTCTAAGACCTACTTTTACTGGGAAGTAGTCTCCCTCTCTTCTACACACCCTAACCTGAGCCTCACTATCCTCATAAAAACTCTTTACAGCATTTAATAACTTACCACCTATTCCATATACTTGCAACATCTGCCACATTGCTCCTATATCCACTATCATATGCCTTTTCTAAATCCATAAATGCAATAAAAACTTCCCTACCTTTATCTAAATACTGTTCACATATATGGTTCAATGTAAACACTTGATCCACACATCCCCTACCCACTCTGGAACCTCCTTGCTCATCCGCAATCCTACATTCTGTCTTACCTCTAATTCTTTCAATTATAACCCTACCGTACACTTTTCCTGGTATACTCAGTAAACTTATTCCTCTATAATTTTTGCAGTCTCTTTTGTCCCCTTTCCCTTTATATAAAGGGACTATACATGCTCTCCGCCAATCCCTAGGTACCTTCCCCTCTTCCATACATTTATTAAACAAAAGTACCAACCACTCCAACACTATATCCCCCCCTGCTTTTAACATTTCTGTCATGATCCCATCAGTTCCAGCTGCTTTACCCCCTTTCATTCTACGTAATGCCTCACGTACCTCCCCCACACTTACATTCTGCTCTTCTTCACTCCTAAAAGATGGTATACCTCCCTGACCAGTGCATGAAATTACTGCCTCTCTTCCTTAACATTTAAAAGTTCCTCAAAATATTCTCACTATCTACCTAATACCTCCATCTCCCCATCTACTAACTCCCCTACTCTGTTTTTAACTGACAAATCCATACTTTCCCTAGGCTTTCTTAACTTGTTTAACTCACTCCAAAATTTTCTCTTATTTTCATTAAAATTTCTTGACAGTGCCTCTCCCACTCTATCATCTGCTCTCCTTTTGCACTTTCTCACCACTCTCTTTACCTTTCTTTTACTCTCCATATACTCTGCTCTTCTTATAACACTTCTGCTTTGTAAAAACCTCTCATAAGCTACCTTTTTCTCTTTTATCACACCCTTTACTTCATCATTCCACCAATCACTCCTCTTTCCTCCTGCCCCCACCCTCCTATAACCACAAACTTCTGCCCCACATTCTAATACTGCATTTTTAAAACTATTCTAACCCTCTTCAACCCCCACTACTTATCTTTGCACTAGCCCACCTTTCTGCCAATAGTCGCTTATATCTCACCCGTACTTCCTCCTCCCTTAGTTTATACACTTTCACCTCCCTCTTACTTGTTGTTGCCACCTTCCTCTTTTCCCATCTACCTCTTACTCTAACTGTAGCTACAACTAAATAATGATCCGATATATCAGTTGCCCCTCTATAAATATGTACATCCTGGAGCCTACCCATCAACCTTTTATCCACCAATACATAATCTAATAAACTACTTTCATTACGTGCTACATCATACCTTGTATATTTATTTATCCTCTTTTTCATAAAATATGTATTACTTACTACCAAATCTCTTTCTACACATAGCTCAATTAAAGGCTCCCCATTTACATTTACCCCTGGCACCCCAAATTTACCTACTACTCCCTCCATAACATTTTTATCCACTTTAGCATTGAAATCCCCAACCACCATTACTCTCACACTTGATTCAAAACTCCCCACGCATTCACTCAACATTTCCCAAAATCTCTCTCTCTCCTCTACACTTCTCTCTTCTTTTTTATATATATAATATACTTCCCATCCTTTCAGCAAAGATACACTATATATAAAATACTTAAACACACTCATACTTACCTTAATGTTTGCATTAACGATGTGTGAGTAAACATATTAATGCCGAACTTGGAAGCAAGGTGTCTAATACTGCGTGGATTGTTGTACAGGGCAAGTGTTTCCAAAACCTCACTGTAGGGTGCTACAGTACCATCTTCCATTTTACTACCAACAGAACACAAGTAATTATAATCACAATAAATAGAAAATTGAGATAATGATTTAAAATTATATTATCATGCAACTGCTGAATAAAATACTTAAATGTTTATCATTCAGAGATATCAGCCAAACTTTCTATAAAGGATGAATAGCAGTAAGCAAATTAAGTCACGCTTGAGTTGTTCAAGATGTGTATTTTTCACACCTGAATGTGAGAGTATTATGAAGAATGATTATTTTCAAGAATAAAACTTTAAGAAATTATCCAAAATTATTACTCAGATTAGAATAAATATTTTTTTAATCATTATCCCCTTACAAAAAAATAAAAATAAAATGTCAGCAAAGTCTGGAATACTTGAGATGACCCCTTAAAATAAAAAATATAACTTTTATTTATACTGTATTGCATTATGAATTTATTAAGCAGGAACCATAGTCTGCAATTTCGATGAGGGTTTGGTGTCTTCTATATTGTAACTACTGCAACAGTGCTACAGCACAAACTTCATATACTATAGCCTCAGGCTCTATTCCATGCAATTTTAATTCTATGCCTTGTACACAGGGTCCAAGAATTTAAAAAAAAAAAAAAAAAAATCATATGAAATGGAAGATAATCCTTTTCTGAAGGTAATAAAACTAAAAAGTACAAAATTTGATGGAAATTTAATGAAATTACAATATTGCGAATTTTACTGCATCAGCAATATTTATGCAATGGCGATTTTGCCCACTTTGACTCCTAGTTTAGGCCAATTACCTTACTCCAGTCGACCAAATTCTTAACTATTTCACTAGTATTACTTTTATTTTATCGACTGAGCAGAAGGAACTGCTAAATCAACTATTTCAACCAATAAAGTGATCAGAAATTGGTAATTTGGCGAATTTCACACAGTTCAAAATACGTATTCCAATTTCATAATAGCGTCCAGAATAAATAATGCAGCATTCCTGGCACTAAAATAACATCTCCTCTGTTTATTAGTTACGTTTCCAGGCTTTACAGATGAATTTCATTTTTATTTTTTATACAACACCATGAGACACCTCAGGATTGGGGGTTGCGACAGTCAAGGGGTTAAAAATAAAAGCACTTACAAAAATACACTTACATAATTGGTTGAGTTGGGAGCAGTTCAATATTTGAGGTTCCACTGTATATTAGATCTGATTTCCTCCACAGTGGAACTCTGGTTTTCGCACACTCCAGTTATTGGATGTTTCGGTTTTTGGACCATTTTTTGTGCGAAATTTTGTTCTGGATATCAGACCTTGTTTCGGTAATCGGACGTTCGCCTGCCCGAGGATGCCACCACTACGCATCTCAGTTTGCCTCTGTCAGGCGGCCCCGGTAGCCTGGTGAAGCAGCCCGGTGGCCTGGTTTGGCAGCCCTTGTGGCCTGGTAGCTAAAGCCCTAGCTTCACACATGGAGGGCCCAGGTTTGATTCCCGGCAGGGTGGAAACATTTTGACGTGTTTCCTTACACCTGTTGTCATGTTCACCCAACAGCAAATACGTACCTGGGTGTTAGTCGACTGGTGTGGGTCACATCCTAGGGGACAAGGTTGAGGATCCCAATGGAAATAAGACAGACAGTCCTCGATGACACACTGACTTTCTTGGGTTATCCTGGGTGGCTAACCCTCCTGGGTTAAAAATCCAAAGAAAATCTTTTCTTATATCACTGGTAGAGTGAGCATTACTTTGCGCATTCCAAAATATTTCGTAATAATCCCTTGTTTTTGGTGTTTGTTCATTAATTGTGACTGCAAAATAAGCCACCATGGGCCCAAAGAAAGTTTCTAGTGCCAGCCAGCCCTTTGGTAAAGGGCTGAGAGAGAGGGGAGAATGTGCCTTCTTCAACGATTCTACAATATGTACGATACTAATGCAGCAGGAGTCAATAAAGGCTATAGCGCCAGCCAGTGATAAAGTGTAGCATTATCAGTGTAGCAAATAAGTTAAGCGATTAAGCGATAGAAGAATGACAACATGAAACTGACTTCTCTATTGTTGTCTGAGGTATATAGGGCCACTGAAGTACAGTGCCTGCACTCTGAAGGAGGGGTGTTAATGTTGCAGTTTAAAAACTGTAGTGTAAAGCACCCTTCTGGCAAGACAGTGATGGAGTAAATGATGGTGAAAGTTTTTCTTTTTCGGGCCACCCTGCCTTGGTGGGAATCGGCGAGTGATAATAAAAAATAATAAAATAATAGGGCCACTGACAACATACACCACCACCACCACCAACACTACACGTACGGCTTATGCTGTCAATGGCCCTTATAACTCAACAACAACACCATCACCACTCCACATATGTAATGACATATTTTATTCATTCTAGAGTATATATCATGTTTCTATGTTATTAATATTGTTTATTATGTCATATTAGATCAATTGTGATACATAAATAAGCAGTAGAGTTGATTTTTTTTTTTATTATCACACTGGCCAATTCGCACCAAGGCAGGGTGGCCCGAAAAAGAAAAACTTTCACCATCATTCACTCCATCACTGTCTTGCCAGAAGGGTGCTTTACACTACAGTTTTTAAACTGCAACATTAACACCCCTCCTTCAGAGTGCAGGCACTGTACTTCCCATCTCCAGGACTCAAGTCCGGCCTGCCGGTTTCCCTGAACCCCTTCATAAATGTTACTTTGCTCACACTCCAACAGCACTTCAAGTATTAAAAACCATTTGTCTCCATTCACTCCTATCAAACACGCTCACGCATGCCTGCTGGAAGTCCAAGCCCCTCGCACACAAAACCTCCTTTACCCCCTCCCTCCAACCTTTCCTAGGCCGACCCCTACCCCGCCTTCCTTCCACTACAGACTGATACACTCTTGAAGTTATTCTGTTTCGCTCCATTCTCTCCACATGTCCGAACCACCTCAACAACCCTTCCTCAGCCCTCTGGACAACAGTTTTGGTAATCTCGCACCTCCTCCTTACTTCCAAACTACGAATTCTCTGCATTATATTCACACCACACATTGCTCTCAGACATGACATCTCCACTGCCTCCAGCCTTCTCCTCGCTGCAACATTCATCACCCATGCTTCACACCCACATAAGAGCATTGGTAAAACTATACTCTCATACATTCCCCTCTTTGCCTCCAAGGACAAAGTTCTTTGTCTCCACAGACTCCTAAGTGCACCACTCACCCTTTTCCCCTCATCAATTCTATGATTCACCTCATCTTTCATAGACCCATCCGCTGACACGTCCACTCCCAAATATCTGAATACATTCACCTCCTCCATACTCCCTCCCTCCAATCTGATATCCAATCTTTCATCACCTAATCTTTTTGTTATCCTCATAACCTTACTCTTTCCTGTATTCACTTTCAATTTTCTTCTTTTGCACACCCTACCAAATTCATCCACCAATCTCTGCAACTTCTCTTCAGAATCTCCCAAGAGCACAGTGTCATCAGCAAAGAGCAACTGTGACAACTCCCACTTTATGTGTGATTCTTTATCTTTTAACTCCACGCCTCTTGCCAAGACCCTCGCATTTACTTCTCTTACAACCCCATCTATAAATATATTAAACAACCACGGTGACATCACACATCCTTGTCTAAGGCCTACTTTTACTGGGAAATAATTTCCCTCTTTCCTACATACTCTAACTTGAGCCTCACTATCCTCGTAAAAACTCTTCACTGCTTTCAGTAACCTACCTCCTACACCATACACCTGCAACATCTGCCACATTGCCCCTTATCCACCCTGTCATACGCCTTTTCCAAATCCATAAATGCCACAATGACCTCTTTAACCTTATCTAAATACTGTTCACTTATATGTTTCACTGTAAACACCTGGTCCACACACCCCTACCTTTCCTAAAGCCTCCTTGTTCATCTGCTATCCTATTCTCTGTCTTACTCTTAATTCTTTCAATAATAACTCTACCATACACTTTGCCAGGTATACTCAACAGACTTATCCCCCTATAATTTTTGCACTCTCTTTTATCCCCTTTGCCTTTATACAAAGGAACTATGCATGCTCTCTGCCAATCCCTAGGTACCTTACCCTCTTCCATACATTTATTAAATAATTGCACCAACCACTCCAAAACTATATCCCCACCTGCTTTTAACATTTCTATCTTTATCCCATCAATCCCGGCTGCCTTACCCCCTTTCATTTTACCTACTGCCTCATGAACTTCCCCCACACTCACAACTGGCTCTTCCTCACTCCTACAAGATGTTGTTCCTCCTTGCCCTATACACGAAATCACAGCTTCCCTATCTTCATCAACATTTAACAATTCCTCAAAATATTCCCTCCATCTTCCCAATACCTCTAACTCTCCATTTAATAACTCTCCTCTCCTATTTTTAACTGACAAATCCAGTTGATATTAGTGTCATATTGAAGGAGTATTTTGTCCTACCTCCAAACAAATTCCCCACCTCCGCCACCACTAGCCACATACGTAATGACGTTTTATTCATTCTAGAGTGCATTTCAGGTTTCTATGTTATTTATATTGCTTATTATGTCACACTAGATCAATAAGCCGTAGAGTTGATATTATTGTTATATTCTTCAAAAATTTATTTTTTTTTGTGAATATTTTTGGGTGTCTGGAACGGATTAATTGTATTTACATTATTTCTTATGGGAAATATTGATCAACTTTTTTGCACGTTTCAGTTTTAGAACGACCTTCTGAACGGATTAAGCTTGAAAACTGGTGTTCCACTGTATTCTGTTTATTACAATATACAGTACACTACTGTATAAACATTTAAAAATATACCAGAAATGTTATAAATAGTGCAAAGGTGACATGTGACATTAAAACAATATCAAAGATAGCTGAAACAAACCCACTACCATTATAGTATGCTCCTCACTTAGTGACGAATTCGTTTACCGACGTGGTCTTAGGAACGGAACTCTGTCGTTCAGTGAGGAGAGGCTGTATATATATATTTTCCAACATTCTGAATGTGGGGC